CTTCAGGACCCCACCTTGATGTTTCGGGACCCCACTTTGGGTCCCGACCCCAACTTTGGGAAACACTGATTTAATCAACACAAAACTGAAAATAGTTTAAAACACTTTAGGAGCCCACAACTGGCAAAAATGTTTTTGTCTTCTTTCGGCTGTTCCCTCTTCAGGGGTCATTACAGCGAGACATCTTCCTCCATCTCTCTGTCTTCTGCATCCTTTGTCTTCACATAAACTACATCTGTCTACTCTTCAGCCTATAATCTCAGTCTGGCCTCTAACGTCTGATGATCTCTGATGCCTCCTCTTGCCTGTAGTCAGGTTGCAGAAACATCAGGTCTAGGAGAGAAACCCASACATCCCTCTCCCATTGACACTTTCAAGACTTTCATCAGAGGATTCATAATCCTTCTGAYGATCTTACTCCTAATTGTCTTCACTCTTGTCACTCCCATCTTCAGCTCTGTTTCTCCAAGTTTTGTCTGCCACCATCTCAAAACCATACAAAAATAAACATCAGTGCACATAAAAGAAAAACTGCATTGTTTTATTGCCATTTTCAGCATACATCCAACACCCCTATGCATTTTAGCTACATGAAGCATTTTACAATACAAGTCAATGTGTCAACAGAACAGTTTAAAAATTAGGATTCATTTTCTTTACATATAATACAATTTGCACACATGTTAATAAATATCAGTACAATCAAGTCAAACTTTTCACACACCATCTAAAACATCAGCCTTTAAAATTATGTAACTTTTTTTATCCACAGCTCATAAATATAGCCTCTTAGTTTTGTACAGTTCTCAAAAAAAAAAATCATACAAAATAATAGACTTTCGGATTAGATTACCCACTGGATAACCAATGATGCTCGATGCAAAATTTAGATTCCTTAAATCCCCATTTTAAATAATTAACTTTTTTATTTTTTGGTTGGGGGAGGGGGGCATGTTTTACAAAAATGTTTAGCAGAAAAGTAGTAAAAATGTTTAGTTCCAGTGGGATTCACAAAAGCGACAAAAACAAACTGAACTTAAAACAAAAAAACTGAATGTGGAGAACAAAACTTAGAAGGCATCTTCTTCAAAGAGACAGTATCACCACTGCTGTACACTGCTGTGTGATTGTTGTGTAGTGTGCGTATGGTGTAATATCACAGCATATCCACACAGAGAACATCCTGTGGCACGAAGTGAGTGAAATGAACTACACTGTTCTCCCTTTAAGAACTGTGATATAATGAGGTCACACCATTAATACTATTCTTTCCAAGATTTCTTTCTTTTTTTTTCGATCCCGCCTTCCATCGCGGGAGCCAACAAAAATCCAATATTGAACGAGTGTTTGTAAACTTCAACCGTCAACGTGATACGCAGAGACCCGGCGTTTTCAAAGTCCTGTGAAATGTTTAAAGAAATGTCAGGTCCTTCTACTGTACRTGCCTGCAAGCCACCTTCACAGACGCACAATGGCTTAGGAGTGCACAAGGGTTACGCACAAGTGGAAGATAATGAGATTCTGGGCACTCTCCTGTGAATGCATGAAGAAAACTGTTCATCTGTTAAAAGCAAATAAAGACAAATAGATAAAAAAAATCCAGAGATGATGGATTCTTAGTGTTGACTCACTGAACACTGTGGGAATAAAATATGAAGAAAAAAAAAAGCCTTTCGGGGCATATTTGTGGTTCATTAGGATGCTAAACTCCATTTTTCACAGGAAAGAAAGGCAGCTTCAGCAGAGGGTGTCGATCCTATAATCAGCCTGAAAATGTAGCTGTGGTTTTTCCACACCTCTGTAGCAGTCCTTTGTAGAAAAGAGGGAACCCTTTGCTGAAAGATGACTCGCCTTACACAGCTATACACACACACACAAAAAACACAGTATTCTTTACAATTCCTTTACATCAGCAGGACTGAACCGCATTCTTCCCTTTATATAATCAGAGTGAAGTCTTTACACTTTSTCCCAACAGCCCCTCTTACTTGAAAGGATCCACTTCAAGGCTGGGATGATAAAGTTGTGAATTTGTACTCTCCTCTCCTCCCACACAGAGGGAGAGGAACAAAATTGCAAAGTGATTAACTTGACTGCCTTTAGGCAGAGGATATGTAAACGCTGCAGACTGCTTCAGTGTCAGAGGCAGCTACGGTGTGTGTGTGTGTGTGTTGTGTAGGAAGGATATTTACACATTCACTGCTGTAGGTGTGACAGTTTTAGACTAACTGCTTGCATCCCTGTTTAGAAGAAAAGTCAGAAAAAGAAAAGAGTGCAAGGCTGACAATGCCTTTGAGAAGTAAAATCCCCCTTTTCCCTAAAACTTAATGAGCAGTTCTAACGCTCTTATTAGGCCCAGTTAAGATTAAATCCTTTCGAGAGCATGACAGCCTCCAGGTCCTTGTCTTCCTCCTTCTCCCGGAGTCTCTGTTCTTCCAGGAGGGCGACGAGGGCATCGCGCTGCTCCACCACCTCCAACATCTCGTTCAGGATCTGCTTTTCTTGAGCAAGCTCCTTCTCAGTTTTCAAATGGTCTGACCAAAACAAAACAGAATCAAGTTAGCGTACAAATGTATGGAGGACTGGAACTGACATGATTAGAAATAAAAGCAGAAATATATAAATGGACCAATAAAT